AGACTTTAAGCATATTTATTACTGGACACACATGAAAAATATTCTGAGTGCGTACCCAGCCAAACCAGTTTGAATCTATGGAGAAAAATTCATCTTGTCCTTGTCTGTTCTGAGGTGCTGCTGCAAGCTGTGCTGCTAGATGTTGTTGCTCTTTGATGGCTGGTGCCCAGTATCTGTGTTGTTGGTATCCATTGTGTCTGTGGTGTGGCATGTCTCTTACCTCCCTATATTTATATTTCTCTCTGTTGTTTACATTTCCCTTCAACTGAAAACAACTGAATTTTGCTGTTGTAGTAAGTTACTGGTCCCTATCAGTAACTTGTTACAGCAGATGAGAAAATTTTAATGGAAATCTCTGTTGCTTTTACCAGTGACAGAATACTACTCATAGCTTATTAAGCTGGCAAGTTGCCCCCTGTAGAAGATAATAGCTATTGTTTTGACTAAATGGGACTTTGCATTTGTGGATGGGCAAAATGCTGAGTGCAAAGTGCTGGTGGATTAAGTTGATCACCAATTTGGTCTATCTCCACTTTAGGATTGCACTTTAGGACAGGATTCTGGCACTTTTTCCTCAATTGTGTTTCTGTTTCTAGTAATTTGTTTACACATTCAACTGTCAGCCATGAAAAAGCTTTTGCAAGGCAGTGTTACTATAGATTGACCTTGGTTCCCGACTTGGCTGGAGAGTTGACTGATTATTTCACAATGACATTTAGTAAACTGCTGTTCAAACTTCATTTCTAAAGCACAATATATGCTTTCAGGATTGCATTTTTTCTACACCCCTTTAATTTTTTTTTTAGTATTATATACAGTCATGGTCAAAACTATTGGCAGCTTTGCAATTCTGTCAGAAAATGCAACCCTTCTCTCAGAAAATGTTGCAGTTGCAAATGTTTTGCTACTCACATGTTCATTTCTTTGGTTTGCATTGCAACAACAACAACAACACACACACACACACACAAAACCAGAGAAGAAAATTCAAATCTGATACAATCCCATACAGAAACCCAAAAATGCACAATTCAAGATTATTGGCACCCTATCTAAATTGTAAGAAATAATTGCTTTTCAAGAATGTGATGCTCCTTTAATTTGTATTTAGACACACCTGTTGTAAGTAAGAGGTGTGGGCAATATAGTAATTATACTTGCAACCAATTAAGATGGAGAAAAGTTGACTCAGCCTTTGTGTTGTCTGTGACACTTGAGCATGGAGAAAAGAATGAAGTGTAAAGAGTTCTCTGTGGATTTGAGAGAAACAATTGTGGAAAAACATGGACAATCTCCATCACCATCTGAATGAAAAGGGACACTATGGTAGGAGACCCAGGAGGACACCACTGCTGACACAAAGGCATAAAAAAGCAAGACTGGAGTATGCCAAAACTTGTGTGACAAAACCACAATCCTTTTGGAAGAACGTACTGTGGACAGATGAGACAAAAGTGGAGCTTTTGGGTCAAGGACATAATGGCACTGTTTACAGAAAAAGAAATGAGGCATTCAAAGAAAAGAACATGATCCCTACAGTCAAACATGGTGGAGGTTGTAAGATGTTTGGGGGTTGCTTTGCTGCTTCTGGCACTGGATGCCTTGATTGTGTAAATGGTATCATGAAAACTGATGATTCCTAAAGAATTTTGAGGTGCAACATAGTGGCCAGTGTCGGAAAACTGCATCTCCACCAGAGGGTGTGGGTCTTCCAGCAGGACAATGACCCGAAACACACTTCAAAAAGCACTCAGAAATGGCTGCAAACAAAGCGCTGGAGAGTTCTGAAATGGCCAACAATAAATCCAGATTTGAATCCCATAGAACATCTGTGGAGAATGTGGGGGAATGCCCCTCCCCAAAGTTGCTAAGCTGTTGGCTGATTCTACAGTAGTAGAGCAAACTCTCCTAGATGACATCACAGCTGCTTCCGAGAGAAGGAGTTACTACCCATTTTTCTTCTTTCTCATAATGATAGGGAGCTAACTTCAAAGACCTTATTTGGGCCAATCCTAATGGCATTATGTAACCATTGTCCTATCTGAACTCTGTCAATAATCGGCATACTGTCAACTATCTGTGAGCTTGTAAGGTTAATAAAACACAGTCCTCTTGGGGCAGTCTTATTTGAGGTCCTCTTCTACAAGTCGCCCCTCAGGAGCATTGCTGGCAGACATCCCTGTGTGTGTGGCTGACTTCCTTAACTTCTCTTTCTAAGACTATTTGCTATCCTAATTATCTGGCGATCACCATAAAACATCAGCCTTCTCATTTAGTGACCCTACAGAGAGATCTCAAAACAGCAGTTGGGAGAAGGCATCCTTCAAATCTGAAGGCCCTGGAGCAGTTTGCAAAAGAAGAGTGGTTCAAAATTCCAGTAGAGAGGTTTAAGAAACTCATTCATGGTTACAGGAAGCGATTGATTTCAGTTAGTTTATTTCCAAAGGTAAGGTAAAGGTTCCCCTTGACAATTTTTGCCCAGTTGTGTTCGACTCTAGGGGGTGATGCTCATCCCCGTTTCCAAGCCATAGAGCCAGCATTTGTCTGAAGACAATCTTCCATGGCCCGTGCGACTTAGACACGGAACACCGTTACCTTCCCACCGAGGTGGTCCCTATTTATCTAGTCACATTTGCATGCTTTCAGACTGCTAGGTTGGCGGGAGCTGGGACAAGCGACAGGCGCTCACTCCGTCATGTGGATTCGATCTTACAGTTGAAGATCTACAGACCTTACAGCACAGAGGTTTCTGCAGTTTAACCCACAGCGCCACTATGTCCCTTTTTCCAAAGGGGGTGCTAGCAAATATTAAGTTAAGGGTGCCAATAATTTTGGCCAGTGCATTTTTGGGTTTCTCTGTGGGATTGTATCAGATTTGACTTTTCTTCTTCGCTTTTTTTTTGGTGTTGTTCCAACACAAACCAAATAAATGAACATGTGAGTACCAAAACATTTGCAACTGCAACAATATTCTGAGAACAGGGTTGCATTTTCTGACAGAATTGCAAGGGTGCCAATATTTTTGGCCATGACTGTTCGTACTTCTGAAATTTCACTGACAGCGCATCACTCACCATGCCATAGGGAATTAATGAAATAAGCAAGCAACTCTTCTAAACAAAAGAAAGGCAGAATATTTATCAAGTGTACATATGTCTCCTGTTTTGATGAAGCAAGGAACTTGAAGGGTTGCACATCTTCTGTCATCAAGAGTGAGAGGCTGTGGTTCAGCAGACGTGCAAATTATGGAAGCAGAATAGCAGTTAAAACTAACCTGACAAACAGAATTGGGCTTGTTCTTGATTTACTATTATGTACTATTTTCATTTTATTTAGTTTCTATATATGGAATCATTTTGAAGTCTTCCAAAATTTTCCTTATCTTCAAGGCTACTTACTTAATTTCATTAAAATTTTCAATTATGCCTCTAATGTTTTGCTCACCCAAGGCCCAAGGAATGAACCATTAAGTGTGAGGGGATGGGAATGAACCAGGAAGCACAGAGAAGGCTCTGTTGAAGGGCTATTTTGAAGTGTGCATGCATTTAGCTGCAGCAATTTTCTTTCATAATTGAATTCTAGTCACTGGATCACACGCTGTTGGTTTGCAAACTGTGTCATGTTATCATAAGTGAAAGATTTGTTTCTCTCCATCCTCCACCGTAAACAAACATCCAGTAAGCAACTAAAATGTGTTCTTTTTTATTATTATTTTTAGGATTGTAAACCATGTGCCAGACTAAATGAGAAATGTCCCCAGCTGTTATGGCTGAGAACTTGACATGACCTTTGCTTCATTATTTCATAAGTACCAGACTAGCAAGTGAGGCTGTAAAGCGGCTTTATTTGGTTTTGGAAGAATGAGGAGATAGAAATATCATTCAGCAACGGAAGAGCACAGAAAGGACAGAACTCTTTTTGCCCATCCATTTCTAACTTGCTAATAGTGTTTGATTTCTTTGTCCTGTCATGTTTGTGAAAGGAATGTGTAGTCTATCATTTCTAAATTTTCAGTGAGATGGAGTAGATTCAAAAGCCTCCTCTTGAATATTAATTACCTAGATTAAACTGAAAAAGCAGCATGGGGAAGGAATCCAGTTATAAGTTAAGCAATATTGTGAATATATATTTATCACTCAGTAACAAAGGGATTTGCATCTTGGTATGCATATCTTGGGCACATTTAGTGGTTTTTAACAATTGCAGATGGGCAGCTAGTATATAGAAGTGGTGAATGATCCAGAGACAGAGATAATCTTGAGGTTTTATGTGGTCTGAAAAGTAGAAGTGGGTAGTTATTACTGAAGGCTGCCCACACATTCAGCCCAGACACCAGCTTCAATGTAGAGGAGCACTCAGTAACGTGATCTACAGTGTAAATGGGTTCAGCACTGGCACCATCAGTAGGAAAAACTAGGCTTCCGATTGGAGATGGGCACTTACCACACTTCAGTGCAGTTCAGTGAATTAGGTCTGTAGGCGTTGTGCAGATACCCCAGATTCCATACCCTGCCTCCTCTTGTGGTTGCCCACTCAGAGGAGGAAGTGGGGCAGAGATGCTTCTGATGGATGCCCATGGGAGAAGGTGGGGTGAGGAATCCAGGGCACTCAGGCGACACCTGTGAACCAAGCCTGCCAAACCATGTTAAGTACCCATCTCTGCTTTCAATATCAACCTTCCAATAGATCATCCTACAACTTTTCAAAGTGTGGGAAAGTTATCAATTCACAGATTTGACAAATCTGAAACCAAATAATGCTTTCGTTCATCAAATGTTTTCAGCTGTACATACTCAGAAGGTTATATATGAAGGTTAAAAAGTTATCTACAAAAATGTCAAATGTCAAAAATGTCAGTCTTGCTTTAATTGTGCTTGCTGTGACTAAAACCTTTTATCTTGATTTTTTATTTTTCTTTGGGAAATGTTTTGTATTTTGTATTTACAAGGAAAAGAAAACTATTTTTTTTAAAAACATAGTTTCCTTTGTCTTTATTTTAGGATCTCTTCATATTTAGACATGAACTTGCCCTGACAAGAGTATCTACTTTCATGGGTTTAATAATGCTGGCTGGAATTAGTGGACTCTTTTATACTCAGTTAATTGGTATATGTAATGTAAGTATCTTGCTCTTTCCTTTGACAAAATTTTCTGCATGTTCTTATTTAATGTTTAAAAATATACAAACCATTGTATCAAACGAGAGTACAGTGGTGCCTCGATTTACGAACTTAATCTGTTCCAGAAGATGGTCGTAACTCAAAATGGTCAAGGCACCATTTTCCATACGAATGCATTGAAACGCAATTAATCCATTCCAGCTGTTTTTTGGTTGTACCTCGAGGTGCCGGTTGCAAGTCGAAGCATTCATTCCCATAGGAATAAATGCAAAAGCGGTTAATCCGTCCACTACCACTAGGGGGAGACTTTTCTTTTTTAACCTAAGATGACTTATTTATTTATTTATCTATTTATCTATCTATCTATTTATTGATTTATTGATTTATTGATTTGATTTGATTTATACCCCGCCTATCTGGCCCACCAGGCCACTCTTTTAGGTTTAAAAAAGGACTTAGGTTTAAAAAAGGGCAGGAAAGGAGGGGGAGAGGGAGGGAACAATGGGGAAAGAGGAAAGAAAGAAGGTCATCACTGGGGCACACATATCCCTCAGACAAAGTTTTGTGCTTTTAAGCACCAAAAGAGAGGATAGAGAGAGAGAAGACAATGGGGGGGGGAAGAGACTTTGGAGTCTAAAACACATTTTAAACCAACACATGTTAAATCCACACATTTTAAACCTACACATTTTAAACCGAACATCTTTTAAAACAAAAGAGAGGTCACAGTACACAAACCCTAGGAGCCACAGAATTTTTTAAAAAAACATTCTAGCAGGGACTGAAAATGCTACAACTACACACTGCAAGACCCATCAGAGCACAGAAACATAACCCCCCAGCCCAAACTCACCCTGCAAAACCCCTGTACATACAGTACTTACCCAGAACAGGCAATCTCTCTGTTTTAAAAAAGAAAGTCAAAAAGCAAAAATCCAAAAAGAAAAAAAATGAAAAAACAAAAATGCCCAAAAAAAGACAGTACAGTACAGTACCTGGCAGTCCGAAGTCTCTCTCTGTGAACCCACACTCTCTAACTGCTGGGGCAAAAGAGCTACAGAGAAGCAGCCTCTTCACTGACCAACGGTTCACTGAAAGCAATTCTAATTCCCCTCCTTTTTTCCCATTCATAACTCAAAGTGCCGGTTGCAAGTTGAAGCAAAATTTTTTGCAGCCGGAGCTGGTTGTAACTCGATTGGCTGTAAGCCGGGAAGTTTGTAAGTCGAGGCACCCCTGTATTATCTATTTGCTGATCACAGTGCAAGAGAAATACTGAATATTAAAGGAAATGGGGAAATATGCAAATATGTGGGACACAACTAGACATAATGACAGGGGATCTGTGATTATATTTCCTGGATTTAAAATGACGAACAAAGCCAAAGTAGAAGATGTGATTTGGATCAGGAGTACAGCACAGGGTGGTGGAGATGGTGGTTAGTAATTTGAGATGTTCAGATCACCCAGGAAAATGGCAAGAGGGGGGAGGAGACTCTTAGCACTCTCTGTCATAAATCTAGTCTGAACGTGCAGCTTTATTTGCAAAAACAAAGAAACAAGCTTAAGGTAATTCAAATGCAGATCTCCTTCCACCTTGTTTAGTTAGACTCATTTTTATAGTAAGGAAAGTGTACTAAAGGTGGTGATTTAAAATGTTTTGTGGTATTTTCACTGTAGAAGGGAGGAAACCTATTGAGAAAAGATAACATGGAGAATCCTCTACTAATAAAACAAATATTTAAAGATGAAAAGGGAAGTGAAGCATGATGTGTTTGGGGAAGCACCAAGGCAAAGTGCAGAGGCAGGTGGAAAAGACTAAAGAATGGAACTGGAAGACAGCTTGAGCAAGAGTAATTTGAGATGAGAAAAGGAAGGTATGGATGAAGAAAGTTATTTTAAGCTTTAAAAGATAACTGAGTGTAATCTGGAAGCAGGAAGCAATTGCTTATAATCAGCAAACAGTAACAAAAGAGTTAAAATTTAAAGGTGGATTACATTTTGAACAGAAATTAAAAGGGGAAATGGGAAAGGAAAATGAATTAAATGTATCTGTTAATTAAGGAAGATTAATTATCCAGATCGGAGAGTGTTAGTAGCTGAACCACTGTCCCCCCCCCGCGCTTTTTATTATTATATAACAAACAAACAAACAAATAACAATCAAAGGAATACAGATATAAGGGAAAAGGAAGGAAGAACAAAACAAAACAAACACAGGGAAGTGTTTGTTGTTGTTTAGTCATTAAGTCTTGTCTGACTCTTTGTGACCTCCATGGACCAGAGCACGCTAGGCCCTCCTGTTGTCCACTGCCTCCCAGAGGCAGGGAAATGTTTATAGTAGTGCAAGATCTCATATAATCTTGGCTCCATGGCTGTGTTACAATACTAAAATCCATAACATATATTATATTCTCTACTCATGTTTATTTCTGGACCCAATCATAAAACATTTTACAGCTTTCTTTAACATATATTCTCGGGTTCTCATGTAATGCCTCTGACAAGCTATCCATTTCTGCAATATCTAATAATTTTTAACAACTCCCCCAGATCTTCTTGATCTTTCCATTTTTGGGCCCAGATCAACCTTGCAGCTGTAAATATGTGCAACAACATATATTAATTTTTTATCAATGATTTCTGGCATTATATTCAGGAAAAACATTTCTAGTTTAAAAGCTGTTTTTTGTTGTATAATTTCTTGTGTAACATCTTTTATCTGTCTCCAAAATCCTTTTACTCTATTGCATGTCCACCACATATGAAAAAGTCCCAGGTTGCTGAGAACATTTCCAACATGAGTTGCTAACCCCTGACACAATTTTCCCGTTTTACAGGTGTGAAATGCAATCTATAAAACATCTTCAACACATTTTCTCTCAGGTTTACTGGTTTAATCCATCTATAATTATCATTCCACATTCAAGTCCAGTCATCTATATCTACTGTATTTTTCGCTCTATAAGACGCACTTCCCCCCAAAAGTGTGGGGGGAAGTGTGTGTATCTTATGGAGCAAATACTGTAAAACAGCACTCCCCCAGGCCCAGTGGGGGTGTGCATGGGGAGCCTCGGGAGGGTCCGAGAGTGCTTTCAAGGACCCTTTGGAGGCTCCCTCACAGGGTCAGCGGGGCTGAAATCCCCAGCTTCCAGGACTCTTCTGAGATTTGGAAAGCCTCAGAAGGGTCCTGGAAGCTGGCGATTTCACCCCCCGCTTGCCCTGTGGGGGGACAGGGGGAGCCTCCAAAGGGTCTGAGAGTGCCTTCCAGGACCCTTTGGATGCTCCACCCATCCAGCCACCCACCCCTGCAAGCCCAGCGGGTCAAAATTGCTGGAATATTTTTTTCCTGTTTCCCTCCCCTAAAAATGAGCTGCGTCTTATGGAGAGGTGTGTCATATGGAGCAAAAAATATGGTATATTATAACCAAAAATTTGTGCCCATTTAATCATCACTGCTTTCATCCTTTCACCCCTCTAAATTATATTCTAACAAAAAGTATACATTTTGTATAATCTTATCACTAGTATAAATCCATAACTCATCTACCTGAACCTTCCCCTCATAACTCCCCCTTTTTTTGTAAAATCTTGATTCTAATTTTAACATTGCCCATCAGTCTGTCAGTAGACCCATTTCCTTCAGCTCCTGTATATTTTTAAATTTCTGCTCTGTAGTTAAGAGCTCTTTATACGTATACAGTGGTGCCTCGCTTAACGGGTGCCCCGTTTAACGACAAATCCGCATAGTGATGCAGATTTTGCGATCGCAAAAGCGATCGCATTGCAATGTTCCCTATGGGGAAAAATTGCTTTGCAATTTTTCCCCATAGGCCCCATGAGGGCTCCCCTGTGCTCCTTCCGAAGCTACCACCGGTCAGCTGGCCGAAAAAGCCGGCTTGAGCGCTTGGGAAGGAGCGCGGGGAAGAGCTCCCCCACACTGCTTCCCAAGCGCCTGCCAGCTTGAGTGCTTGAGAAGGAGCGTGGGGGAGGGCTCCCCCGCGCTCCTTCCCAAGCGCTCAAGCCGGCTTTTTCAGCCAGCTGACCGGCGGTCGCTTGGGAAGGAGCGCGGGGAAGAGCTCCCCCACACTGCTTCCCAAGCGCCTGCCAGCTTGAGTGCTTGAGAAGGAGCGTGGGGGAGGGCTCCCCCGCACTCCTTCCCAAGCGACCGTCGGTTAGCTGGGCGAAAATGCTGGCGTGGGGCTTTGGGAGGACTGCGGGGGAGCCCTCCCCCGCGGTCCTCCCAAAAGGCCTCATTTTCACACAGCTGATTGGCGGTTCCAAAATGGCCACTGGCGCCGATTCCTCGCTTACCGAGGCGGTGAAAATGGTGGCCCTATGGAGGATTCCTGCTTAGCGGTGAGTTTACCCCCCATAGGAATGCATTAAACATGTTTTAATGTGTTCCTTTGGTCCTCCCTCCAAAGTAATCCATTCCTTTATCCAGTTCAGATCACAGGCTTTGTAGTAGACAATTTGGTAAGCCCACTCCTCCTCTTTATTTTAAGTCCTATAGAGCTTTGAGTTTTATTCTCGTTTTTTTTAGCTTGCCATATAAACTTAGAGAACACAGTGTCTACCTCCTTCAAATATTTATAATTCAACAGTATTGGCAAATTTTGGAACAGGAACAAGAGTTTGGTAAAATGTTCATCTTTATAGCAGCAATTCTACCCAACACTGAAAGTTGTAGTTTACCCCAAATTTCCAAAATTTCCTGTATTTCTTTAAGTATTGGAAGACAATACTAAAAATAAAGGGTGCTTGTTTTTTTTTAATATACACTCCCAAATATTTGTTTGTTCAAAGCCAGTTTCAATTTCTTTCTTTCTTTTTCTTTCTTTCTTTCTTTTTTTGCTTCTTCTAGTGTCGTATTTTTGTCAAAAACCGTTGTCTCAATAGGAGGAGGCAGAAATATTTTAGCTCAATTCATTACATTTTAGAATAGAATTCCTTTAGTAGAATTTCAGATAGCTGCCAAAAATGGTGTAACCCCAGCG